TTACCACTTCCTCCCAACTCTGGGAGGAGGGCATGTAAGTGAGCAGAGGCAAAAGCAGCATGTTCTAGGACGTACCAGGCATGTAGAAATACACGTTATTACCCCATATTCAAACTCACGCAACCCGCACATTTGCCTCTGCATAGAGTAACTACTGCATAAAAGGTCATCCCGACTATCCGTTCACGGAGCCAAGCCATTTGCTGAGCCTTGTTCAACCCCACATCAGTCTCCAGTCTCTTTGCCCTTCCCTGATTCAACTGCTCTCTGTGCCTGTGTACACCATCTTGCCAGTTCAGTCCTACAGCATTACTGTGCCCCTGGGTCTTCCCCTTCATTCTACTCCAAATACTGAGTGTGCTGGTCATCTTTCCCAGGGGTAGCCGTCTCTAATCTTTCTTCTCTATATCTGGTTCCTCCCTCTCTCCTCTGCTCCAGCCCACCAAGCCTCCTTCCCTGCCAGCCATCCCCATTCACAGGGGAGGGGGCCTCCTCCTTCACTCACAGCCTGTCTTGTGTCTGGAACCAGCCAACCCACAGCCTCAGTCCCTCCTCTCATCTTGTCCTCTCAGAGTGGGAGATGTACCTCCGGGCGGCGAGCTCAGTGACAGCATTCCAGAGCTCCAGGATCCCTCCTCAATTTTAGGACATGGAAACATGGAATACAAGCGAAGGGAGGGCAGAGCAGTAATGAGGCAAGAATTCAGGCTACAAAGAAGGAAGAAATCTAAGGATTATTGAATAAAGGAAGACAATAACTAAGTTTTTAGGTTTTTTTTTTTTAATAATACAAAATGCCTATCTGCTCTTTAGATGCCAATTCCAACACAATTCCTACAGGAGACACTTTTAAGAGCCCCTGGTCCACAGCTGGCAGAAGAAATCTCGACCCGTTTTCCACTGCTCTAGTATGCATGCCACGGCTGACTGAGTGAATTTGGGGTTGCCTTAAGAGGTCACTGAGCACATCCTCTGCTGTAAGCTGTTTCATACACAACCACTTCAGAGAGGTGAGATTTCTCTTATTTTTAAAGAGACCACTTCAGAGGAACCAGCTATCATCTCATTAAATAGACTGTTCTGATGACAAAATCCCTCATAGTCAGGAAGTCCTCTTTTGCATCTAACTTAAATTCTTCAAGCTGCACTTCAAATCCTTGCTTCCTCTTATTCAGACCTAGAAGGAACTGGAGCCAAATAAGGGTTATAGCCTGGACTCGACCTTATTTCTCTGACATCTGTTTTCCCATATATTTTTTTTTTAAATCCAGGAGACCATATTTCTACACAGTCCTGTAGGTGTTCCTTCAACACTGGGTGAAGCAAAGAGGTGTGAAGTTATTACTTTTCTCATCTGGGAACAACCCAATCATCAGTATAAACACCGCCTCCCCCATCTTAGGGGGTTGATTTCTATCACTTCCCACCAATCTTTTCATTACGATGGTCTGTTCTCCTGGTTGAGATTAGATTTGTCAAACTGGTAATGACGGCTCATGGCTTTTCAAAGGCATTCCTCCCTCCTCCTAAAACGGATAGCCCAGCGCTCTACTATTACCAAATATCTTCCTGCCTTTTCCCAGCTTCTGGCCTCCCACCATTCTTCCTTGATATTTCAACAGTAGCAGCGAGCACCCTGGACTCTAACTTGGGTCTGGTGGTGGCCAGCACCTTAGTCTCTCCCTTGGTTTTGCCCTGTTCTAACTAGTTCCTCCCTTCTCTTCTTGGCTCTATTTCAGTCTGCCTAGTCCTTGGATCAATTCCTTTTAATTAATAAGTCCCTCTTCCATCCTTGGTGCTACAAATGTTGCTATTCTCTTCCCCTCTCTCAAGCGAAGCTACAGCAACTTCCCTTACCCTTCTCATAAATCTTTAAAAGCTCTGCTTTGCACAAATTGCATCCTTTTTCTGCCTTTTACTGTCCTTTTTACTTTATGTCTGTGTTATTCTGTCTTCAGCAAAGCATGTTTACGTTTTTCATTCAACCCTCAAAGCCATTCTGTGAGACGTGCTTGGTTACTTCTGCCACTTGAAAACGAGGAAACTGAGCCTCAGAGAAGGAAAAGCCTGCTGAGAGGCAGGCAGCTAGGGGAGGGGCTTGGACGTGGCCCTTCCATCTCTAAGATGTGTCTTCTGTGCCCCACAGGGCCTCTCCGCCCCTTCTGCGCCTCCTGCCCCATATCCATCAGCAGCACTTCCTCTTCCTGCTTCACCACTCTGCAGGGAGGGGCTTCTTCTCGTTTCCTGTTGACGCTCCTCTGCTCTTCTGGCTTCTTCCCGTGGAGCTGATGAAATACGGCTTCAAATGTATTTCCTTTTCCTTCAATCTACTGAGTCTCTTGTCTTTTTATATTGTCTCCTAATGCTGTCTGCATAATTACTTTGTATATTGCTACATGTAACAAGTTACTTTAACAAGCAACCCATCACCACATACTAATTCCCTTCAGAAATCGTAAAGGATGGTTTCTAAAACTTTGTTGCCATGAGGAGTAGTCGATTTCCTTGATGCCTCTTCCCACTGTTTGTTCTCTTGGGATTCTGTCGCTCACCAACTTTTCTCCTCACACCTCTCCCCTCTCATCTGTGCTTTGGCATTCCCCGGAGTGAGCCATTGCTCCTTTGGATCCAGCCCCCCAGGAGGGCGTTTACTCTCTGAAACAGCGTTTCAGCACCCACTTCAGACGGCTTTCCCTGCCTGTCCATATGGCTACGTCAACAGCTATTTACAAACTGAGCAAAGAGGTTTTTCAGGTGTTTTAAATTTTACAACTCTGAAATTCAGTTTTGATAAACTTTATCCTGAAAGGAGAAGTAGAATGAATCGTGTCACACATGAAAACAAGAGGACACTGGGAGGAGACTACAGGAAACCACAGAGCAGCCCTGGCTCCCCAGCCACACCTGCATGGGGCGCCTGCTAGGACCTAGAGCTCAAATCTCAACCAAGAGAATGCAGTCTGGGAACCAGTCAGAAGTGCCTGCCAAGGGCTTGATGACCTTACCAGAGGAAAATCACCAACAATTTGAAGTTCATAAGGGGCGATATATTTAGAAGATTGTGAAGGCGTTTATAACAATGGTTTATTTACCTATACCAAGTGAACTGTGCACTGTTCTCTACTCTCCAGGAATCAGCCTGACTTTCAGTTCTCTAAAGGATGCCCATGGCGACTATGGCTCACAGGCTGCAGGGCAGCTGTGGGGATTTCAGGGAGAGCTCCCCGGTTTCTCCGTAATGTCCCCAAGTGTCCTAACTCTGATGTCTGGGCTCTCGGTTCATTGAAATGGTTAGTGGATATGTTTCTGTACAATTTCTTCTGCTCTTGGTCCCTGAGCCCCTCTTTCTGTGTCCTGGGTAAATTATGAGCATCTATTCATTAATATGCAAAGTGCAGAGAACAGTACCCATCTCACTGGTTGCTTCAGGGACTAAAGAAATGAGACAATGCATGGTCGCCCCAACATTAGCCATTCATATGCCACCTCTGCAAATCTTTATCATATACATGCACCATCACTGGCCTAATGTTTTTATTTAAATTTAACTTTTTAATTTATGTAAATGTGTTTTTAAAAGAACCTTTGTAGCAGTACGGTGTATGATAAACCAGTATAACTTGCAATAAACAGAAGACAATCTTGAAAGTAAATGCATCAATTACAGTACAGTATGCTCTTCTGTGTCTCAGCTTTGGGAAACCCTGAAATGATGTGTGCAGAAGAGAGCGGAAGATCCACAAATGCTTCTTTTCCCATCCGCTCTCCCACAGATAGTAGGCATATTCTAATAGGGAGAAAGAATTCACAAATTTGTTTTCTTGGTTCATCTACATCAAATGGCTTTAGCCACTATCCTTGTCTGTTTGTACAATTAATTGTATAGCTAAATTTAAGCAAAAGAACCATTATATCAAAAATCTACTTGGCTCCTAAGACACACGTAAACATATACAATATGTTTCTTAGTTATTACATCAGGATGTCCTATAGAAAGACAGCTGTGTGATTTTCATAACCCTGAGAGCTTCACATATGTTGCCCTCTTTGCCTGCAGGAGCTTATGCAGCTGATCTACATGTGATCCATTCTACCTCATTTTGACCTGTGTACCCTTCATGCCATTCTTTTGTGCAAATAAGTGGCTCTCAATATCATGGTTTTTTCTTTAAAAAGAACAAGAAAATAGGTATTCCAAGGAACTGTTGACTTATTATCTCATGAGAACATGGTATAATGGAGTAAAAACTAGTCTTTGAGTCAGAAGTTGAGTCTAATTCTGACTCTGCTATTTGACGTTGGTTAATTCACTGAACATCTCTGGCCCTCTGTTTTCTTATAATAAACAGGGTGGGTTAGGTTTCCTAAAGATGAACTGTAGCATATGTAAGTTAATCAGGGGAGAGATTGATGATACTTCCATACTCACCTCTTCATGGAAAAGGTATGTAAATATATGCTAACTGAGATCATCTAGATTACTTTTAACATTTAGAAATTTCTATCAAATTTTCTATTTTCAGTTAAATTTGACATTTAAGAAATAGAGATGAAAGGGATGACATAAAATGGCCATATTTGGCTCCTTCTAATCCAAAGCTCTAAAAATAAACAGTCCTATTGCCATAATACATAAAATGTATAATTTTCACTATCCACAATCCATAAAATTGGATATTCCTGAAGCACACTGAGGACAGAGGACAATGCTAGTAACATGCCCCCCATGGCAGGGGTACTTCTCAACTCTGCCATTTTGCTCTGCACGTGGGTCTCACGGCCAAGTTGAGCTGTGAGTGTCTAGCCTCCTTCATACAAGAGGGCCCCATCCTGCTCAGCTTTATTCTGTATTTCCTTAACGCGGTGGCTGAGGGGACACAACAGATAAAATGACTCATGTCCTCTAATCACCGTCTCTGGAAGAATACAAAGGGAAAAGGTTTTATAGGAATAGAGCATGCAACAGCCTGCTAACAGGATGCCGGGATGACCCAACTCACCCACTCCTCTCTCACTCTTGGAGTTCTGCTGGCCTCCAGACGTGGTGGAAAGGTCTTCAGGGACAGGCATGGGTTCATCACCATCATCTGGAGTGTCACTTACTGGAGGGCTTTCCTTTCCTGAGGAGACAAGTAGGAGCTTGAGTTTCTGGGGGCATGGTCACCATGGATGGACCAGCAGGGAGGCCCCAAGTGCCTGGGCCTCACCTTTGCTTGGCTTGAGAGGACAGCATGAGGAGGCAGTTACTGGATTGAGCTAATGCTTCTCTGCTGGGATTAAAATCTACTTTCCTTTTTATAAAATAATCCCATTACCACACCAAAAAATGAGAGAACATAGATGTGCAAAACGAAAAAAGATCAAAATCCCCTTGAGATTATCACTAGTAAAATGATGGTGTATGCGTGGGTGTGTGAATGTGTACACACACATATATATATTTGTATATCATAGATAACATATGGTGATATATTTTCTTTATCAAAATAAACTAGTTTTTAGATATTCTCATGAATGCTTTTCCATGCCAGTGACCATACTTTCACAACTTTATTTACAATGTCTGTGGGTAATACTCCATTGCATGGGTATACTAGGATTTATTTAAATCCTTTTTCCACTTTTAAACTTACATTGTTTTCAATCTTTTTTATTATTAAACAACACTGTAGTGAACATCCTAATAGTCAGTTTTTGCACATGTTCTTAATAATCACCATAGTATAAATCTCCAGAAGTTTTATGCCTAGGTCAAAAGGCATCTACATTTTTAAGGCTCTTCATGTGTTATGCCAAAATTTTCGCCTATAAAGTTGTTCCAGCTTACCCTCCTATAAGCCTGCTTCCCCACACTTTCATATTAGTTTGTTTTAAGGTCATCAGACTGGGCCCTCTGCTCAGAACTACACATTCTGGGTCTGTTCACTTTCTTTTCAAGGCTCAGGGAATATTTTGGTGGCTGCCTAACTTGATTCAACTTGCTGGGGACAGGAAGCTTGGAAGGAGAATGAACAGGGACCCCCACGCCTCCCAGGAGCATGATTCCCTCCTCACATGCACAGCGAGTCTGCCAACATGAATTCTTATCTTTGAAATATAAAAACAAAATATAATCCACACAACTACAAAAGTTGCTTATACTTCACAAAGTAGGATCTACCAAACGAAATACAGTTCTACAGGATGCCTATATCTATTTTGACTAAATTAGAATTAAGTTTCTCCAGAGGGTCCAGCAATAGGGAAGTCACTCCCCCTCCCAGGAATCCAACACTGGGAAGCCATAACTGGTAGAAAATGCTCTTTTTCCTTTGAAACTGAAACCCCTGTATCTTCTAACCTTCTAGATGTAACTTGAAATTGAGTTAGGGGACGACATAAACCACACGCAAGAAACAGCTGGTGAGGTCCTAAATTGATGCAAATAAGCCTTCAGAGCGGCTGCGGAAGACCAGCTGGGATTAAGATCCTAAAGGGAGGTTAACAGAAAATCGGCAGGCTGGGACTGCATGTTTGTTGGCGGGGCTGGAAATTTATCTTCCAGCTTAGTGGTAATTACCACAATTGGCATATTTTCGGAAAGAATATCATTGGGTATATTTGGATAGTCAACGCAAGATGAAGAGTTAAAGATGGGGCAGGATTATAAGAATTTCCCGAGGAAAAACAAAAGGCCAGAGAGAAATTGACTGAAGTGCTCATGTTACACTAAAGCCTTGTAAATGTACGTTACACCAGGAATATTTTCATTGCCCTAAGTAGAAGACTTTAAAAGTAACAACAGCTAAATGTCTCCCCGTTGTTAGTTTTCTCCTGTTGCATAAATGGGGAAAATCTCTGAATAGGAGAATGCAGGGAGTCTATGAACCACTGACAACTCTTTTTTTCTCATGACTGCCTAGAATGATGGTTTTCAAACTTCAAGGACTTCAGGGAGATGGTCAGAGGAGTCTTTTTTTTTTCTTTTTTTTGTAAGAATAATCTTACACAGAACTTCAACAGATAAAACCAGTCTTCTGTGTAAAGTGGGGACACTGCAGGGTGGAGAGGCTAGAAGATCAGAGACCCAGCCCCCAGTCTTCTCGAAGACCCCCTGAAGAACCTCCACAGAATTGACAGCAGAGACCCTTGGCCTAACAAACTGATCCAGTGATGAAATGTGCATAGAGTGTGGCCGTGTGCACGCATGTCTTGGGGATTAACCAGCTGTCATTATTATGGGGTGGGAGGTTGAGAAATTAAACTTTATGAACATATTTTCTTATTATGATCTCCCTGTGATAACTTTGGAGTACTCCATGATGGTGTGGGACCAATTTAGACATCAGGGCACACTGAAACCAAGGGAGGATCACAAAGAATCAGGACTTATCTGATGAGGGAATACCATCTCTCTGCTCAGTTCATGCTAAAATACACCCAAATAACTCCTGATTACTTTTTTAAAATTTAACTGACCTGTTTATTAGGGAACAAGACCAACTACAAATTGTTGAGGATGCCTATAATAATAGACATGCTTCTTCAGAATTCTATCAGTGTGGTCTGGCTCCTGACTTGAACTAAGTGCCACCTCTCTAGTGTCCCTCGTCTTGTATCTCAGTACTTTTATTGTTTTCTACCTAGGGGAGAAAAAGGAATGATGAAAACAGTAGGGATCACGATTCTAAAATGTCGTGGGTCAGACTGATCAACAGGAGCTCCTTATGCGGAAGAAACAAACGGGGAGAAGAGAATAAAAAATCAGCCTTGGCATGTGCAGTGGCATCTAGTAGAAAGTCGAACTAGAAGAGAGAGAGTTAGATATATATTCATGTGCCCTCCAAGAGCTCTGCTTTAATTCAACCTTTCCTCGCCTTCACTCAGTGATAGTTTTTAAGAGGTCATCTGATTTGCCTAAAAGCCCCCAACGTTGGAGCAGTGGCTGCTGAGACATTAATTGCTCACATGAGCCTTGTACTCAGTGACCCCTGGATTCTTCCAGCGCTGGAGATATTTCCATGATGAACATTTACCACTTCGTGAAAACCTTCATGTTAGGCAAAAATATTTTTATGTGTTGATTTTAAACAAATTTGCCCAGTTAACCATTTAAAATGCAAAACTATAGAAAGATTATAAAAGATAAAAAAAAATAAAATTAGTAAATCAACACACCCCAAATATTAACACACTGTGACTAGAAGTCAGTTGACCTGGGATATAGTTCTGCTTTGACCAATTATAAGACTGACAGAAATGAGGAATAAGTTGCCTCTGTAAGACTCTTTCCTCAATGGTAAAATGAGGCTAAAAACCATGATTTTGGTCTAGCTCACAGGATTGTTGTGAAGATAAAATAACAATAATGTGTGTGAATGCTAATATGCTAAATAAGCTCATGAGATTACTTTGTAAACTGTAACACACTGTCGAAACATATGGGATGTGTAGCACTAAGTGTCCATATTTTCCGTAAATTCATGTACCACGACAAGCAACACACAGAAATGCAGACAGCCAGAAATCCAGTATTTAAAAAGAACAATTTAGGAGGTGCAATACATTTTCACTTTTTTAGAAAAGTGAAAGAAACTTCTTACCAATTTACATTTCATTTACCTACTGCCTATGTTTCAAATAAAGCATTACCTATGAGAAGTTTTTTGGGCAAATTAGATGAGAAAATTGTACAATTAGCTTATCAACAGAAAGTAAATAATTTCTCAGGTAGATTATAATTCACCCAGCAAACTTCTGTGATTCCTTATCTTCCTAAAGCATGAGTTTTTATTATACACAATTACCCAGGTGAACATAATTCATGGGGGTAAATAAAAACTCAGAATATAGAATCTCAGCTCTATAGAACGGTGGAGAAGCTTGCATCCAGGGTCCAAATTGGGCTCGCATCCCAGTGCCATGTCTGGATCCCTATGGGACTTCTGGTCAGTTACTGAAATTCTCTGAGTCTCAGGTCCCTGCAAATTGAGGATGGTACGTGTATCTTCTTCATTGGGTGCTTGTAAAGTTGAAATGAGAAAAATTCTTAGGGCAATGTTTGGTAAATATAAAGCATTTAATCAATGTGATTTACTATGATTAACTAGAGAGAAAATATTTCCATTGATACGTCAATATAGATGAGCTTCATTTCCCTAAGCAGATTATGCATGTCTACAGTGCATATTTCTTGTTTCCATGTTCCCACAAATATTATAAATACCATTAAGAAAACATCCAATGTAGCTTTCGGGTCTGAGGATCCTTAAAGGTCAACTGGCTCAAGTCTCTCATTTTGCAGATGACATTACAGTGGCCCAGGAGGCATAGAAAACTATCTCAGGTCCCACAGCTGGGGGCAGAGATGGGAGGCTGATATAGGTCTCTCAACTCCCATATCCCTCTCTCTTCCCACAGGCTGACTCTTCCTTTGGCAACCTAAACAAAAAATAACACACATGCGTGAAAAGTATTTTGGAAAGACTGCCAAAGAAGGAGAGAAAGAAAAAAAAACCTTACCAAAAGAATGAATGAGATGTGCCCAAAAGGAAAGAACAGCTTTCAATACTATTGTCCAAAACCAGTGGATGCAAGTCAGTAAAATTTACTGAGTGTCTGCTACCCTAAAGACACTATTCACCAGGGCTCAGTCGACATTTAGGATAAATCCCAAGGAAGAAAGAACCAGGTGGTTTGCAAAAAAAAGGGACGATATTGGGTATTTCTCTGCTTTTCAAGTGAATATTTCACATCTATCAGGTTGACCCCTATGAAATTGCTGATACTGGAACATTCTTTACATATGAAAGTGGCAATTTCAGAGGGTTCAACTTAGAAAAATCTATTTTTTTCTTTCCTGTGGACAGCACTGAACAATTTTATGGGAAAAGAGGATGATTTAGTAGCATATTCCTCAGATTTCATATCAAGAATGTCAACTCCTGTTTGGCTAAACGTACATCCTTATTCCATAACTAACTGCCACTTCCCTCAATCTTAGAAATGAAAAGGAAAAAGGGATGTGATTAGGTGTTAACTGGAGAAGCAACAGGAAGTAGAAAAGCATTCTTCAAATCTCTAGTGAAAATGGCACAACTCTTCAGATGTTCTAATCACTGCTTAGAATGCTTCAAGTTTAACAGAAACCCAAACTACTAGTCATGTTTCAGAAGTAGTGTTTCCTTCACTAAGTGTATACAAACTAAATTTCAGACCAAACCTTAAATCTTTTCAAACAAAGAAGAGTTTCCTTGTTCAGGCAGTCTTGTGTCATGTGGCCTCCCTTCATTCTTGTCTCCACCCCCAGCTACCCTCCCCTTTGAAAAGCCAGCATCCAGAACAAGTGGAGTATCTAGCATAATGTTAAGGGCAAGAAAAAGATGAGAAGAAAATGAGGCTTTTGTTATTTTTGTTACCAAGATATGAGATCAGATTATTGACCAGCTTTCCTCATATGAAACATTACAGAGATGCTGCCTCAGCTAGGGCTTTTAGCTTTGGCTCTGGGACATCAGAGCGTAGATTCCAAACTGATCCAAGGGGTCTCCTATTCTTCAAACACCTCATGCAAAATGCCTATTTGGAAGCTACCCAAGGTAACAAGGAAAACCACAAGCAACAAGGAGAAACAGTAGAAGGGTTTCTCTCTCTCTCTCTTTTTTTTTTCTTGTGAGGAAAACTAGCCCTGAGCTAACATCTGTTGCCAATCCTCCTCTTTTTACTGAGGAAGATTGGCCCTGAGCTAACATCTGTGCCCATTTTCCTCTACTTTATATGGGACGCTGCCACAACACAGGTTGACAAGTGGTGCGTCGGTGCACGCCCGGGATCCGAGCCTGCGAACCCAGGGCCGCCACAGCAGAGCACGCACACATAACCACTACACCACCAGGCTGGTGGTCTCCTGGAAGGGTCTCTTTTTGCATTTGGAATTTTCAACATCTGGTGCTTTGACACTGATCACCTCCAACCACGGTCCCAGGGGATGGGACCTGCTTCCTGGGGAAGGGCCACACGTCTCCTTCAGAGCAGGCTTCTTCAGGCCAGCAGTGACCCAACCCCAGTCAAGCCAAATGAGAGGCTTCAAAGAGCCAACATTTTTTTTTTCACTTAAACAGTATTTTTGTTGTTGTGTTGTTGTACTTCTGTTTAAGAAACAAAGTATGTGCTTAAGGAAAATAAATTCAAATAGTGCTGAAAGGAAGAAAATGAAAAGCAAAGGTTTCCCTCCCCTTCCTCCCTAATCCATCCCTTCTTTCTATCACTAAGCTTCCGAGAGGAAGTCCAGGTTGATAAATATCACCCCAGAATTTTCCTAAGTTTATATGCATGTAGAAAGTGTGTGAGTATGTGCATAATTTGTTTTCATTTTCACCGATGGGATCACACTTTGCAGACCATCCTGAAACATTCTTTTGTCACTTTCACATATATCTTGGACATCTTTCCTTACTAGTATATTTACATCATCCTCTTTTTTTGGGGGGTGGGGGGTGAGGAAGATTAGCCCTGAGCTAACATCTGTTGCCAATCCTCCTCTTTTTGCTGAGGAAAATTGGCCCTGAGCTAACACCTGTGCTCATCTTCCTCTACTTTCTATGTGGGATGCCTGCCATAGCATGGCTTGATAAGTGGTGCCTAGGTCTGCGCCCGGGATCCGAACCTGAGAACCCCAGACCGCCGAAGTGGAGTGCGTGAACTGAACTACTACACCACCGGGCCGGCCCCTTATATCATCCTCATTTTTAAGAGCTGAATGAACAAGTGCGTGGATGTACCATAGTTTTCAATTATTAGCACCAATGCTGCTGTGAGCATCTGCTTGAATACTCTGCACACTCGTGAAAGGGTATCTCTATGGTCAACTCATTCAGTACAGTTTTAGTTTATATAGATGTGCCAACCTTGAGGACCAATTTTCACTTCCACCAACTGTACATGAAGGGCTTAAGTGTAACAGTGGAAAAGCTAGCCTTTGGCTTGTTCTTTACAGCCTGGAGAGTTTAAGTCCCAACTTTCTAAATGGCAGGGGTAACTGGCACAGAGCAGGAGGACGACATGTGTGATATGCAGCACGTCTGCCTCCAGTTGGATGGGACTTGCATCTCCTCTCCTGCACAGTTCCAGTGAGCAGCCACCAAGCAGGGCAGCAGCCACTCACTTGCTCTGGGTCTTCGTCATGAGGACTGACTCCGACAGAGATGCAGAATTCAATAAACACTTGTAAACAAGTTGGGGCAGGAGGGCCAAGCCCAGAGGACAATGACAGGCCATTTTTGCATTGAGGCCAGCCTGGGATTGACCTTGAGCCTGTGAGGCTCTAAAAGATAAAGTATGGAAAACCCAAAGCCCATGGAGGCTGCTACTGCTGCTGTCACCTCTGGGTCCATGGTCAGACAGAAGGTGGGCTTCCTACCCCTATGAATATGGGAGCTGTGCAGGCTTTGCCACACTAGCTGGTGGTTCATCCTCCTCAGCATCACCCATTGGGACAGTCTGTGATCACCCTTAGGCTCATCTCCTGATACTTACTGTCTACTTCCTGGGTCTCCTATGATGAGAAAAGCTATGTCCAATACGGCTTGAATAACATGGTGAAGGGGAGTAACGCTCTTCGCACACTTAACAAATATTCTGAACTGTGCCCCCAACTATGTTTTTCAAACTACTTTCTCCTTCTCTCCCTCCCTCTCTCTCTCCCTCTCCTTCTCTCTCTTTCTCCTTCTCTTTTTCTTTCTCCCTTCCCGTCTCTCCCTCCCTCTGTCTCTCCTTCTCTCCCCTTCTCTTTCTCCCTCTCCCTCTTTCCCTCCCTCTCTCTCCTTCTTTGTCTTGCTCTCTCTCTCTCTCCCTCTTTCCCTTCCTCTTTTTCTCTCTCTTCTAAACCCATCATTGGCATGTGTTTGGGGTCTAGAGCAGATCAATCAGTCATTTTCTCCCCACGAGTACCAACATATATTGAATCCTTTCCAAGTTGCTCTCAAGATTTAACAGTAAAAATAATTTTATCTTGGACATTTTTCTGTTCAGGTTCTCAAATTGGAATAACCTCTAAGAGTTGACATTAACCATCGATACAAATTCCATCTTGGTATTTCCTTTTGCAGAACAGCCCTTCTGCCTCCCCCAGGAACACAAGGAGCACCTTGACTTCTAGCCCCCAGTGGAGCAGTCCTCACGGACTCCCCCGTAAAGGTGTCTCACAGGTCTCACCTGAAACTTGGGACATGTCTTGACCCTCATCAGCGTCCATTGTCCTCAGGTTATCTGAGAAAGAGAGGGAGGGATTTTAGTTTAAAGCAAAGTACTAATAAGATATGAGAGAGAGAGAGAGAGAGAAGCCCTATGTATTTAACAACAAGGTTATCTACCAAGAATAATGCATTTTCCTCCTCACATACTTGCTGGAGTATCAGACTGGCACAGACCTTGATCCTTTTAAAAACAGCATTACAAAGATTTATAAAAATATCATTACAAGCACAGGAGGACCAAATTTGTTATTTATTGTTAATTTCCTACTGCATAATAACCCAAAATGCAAACTGACTGCAACAAAATTAAGCAGAAAATTAAATGGCCCTGGGTCATTGTAGGCACAGAATTCATTCTCTTGGCTGATCCATAGTTATGTTCTTTCTAATTTACTGAGCATGCATCGATGAACCTTGAGTCAGCTTGGTGACACGCGTACAATCAGCAATCAAAAAACGAAGCAATTTGCTGAAGAATGTCTCATTTACCCAGGCAGGGCTGCATATCTGAGCAGCTACCGCACTCCCTCCATCAATAATGAATACAGCTCCAGCCTGGCAGATGGGCAACACGGGTGCTTCCGTCTCTGTCCCCCACTCGTTCAAGGCCCTTGCAGACTTTGCCAGCACTCTTATGCAGGAGAAGTGAAGCTCATGATGGCAGCAAAACAAGGCTGAGAGAGCACCCAAACCTTCTTGTTTTGCTGACAGATGGTGGGCTCTGCAGATTGGTTTAAAAAGAGAAAACCAATTGGGAAGAGCTGCCCTTGGGTGGCGACAGTGAACGGCCTGCACACTGCACTGCCAGCCACCACGAACACCATGGAGAGGCCCCAAGTCAGATGGGCAGAAGGAAGGGGTATGTGTGTTCGCACTGCGGGTCCTGGCCTACACCTTGGAAGTCCCAGGTGCCCCGGGAGATGACATCTGGGAGCTCCATGGATGAGAAATCTGTGGCCTGAACAAAGTCTGCTCATTTATGCTCTGTTGGACAGCCTTCAGAAGAGATCCTTCTCTGACCAGCAAACTGAGTCTATTTGTTGAATCTAAATCAGGTCACTTTTTTCTGGGGGGGGCACCTCAGTCTTTTTGGTTCAGATGTGTGGATCTGAGCTGTGAGGCCTGTTTTCAGCAAAGACCTGGACACTGATGGATGGACCTTACCCCCTCCAGTTAGGCTGAAAACTGTGGGCAGAGGCCATATATACATATATATATATAATAGCTTTTATGGTACATATGGAATACATAGTTTCAATTTCAGTCATGAAGACATGAATGACCATCACTCACTTTTTCTGGATAGTAGGGGTTTTCATCTATTTCTGAAAGCCACTGAACTAGTCTGAGTTGTGACATAAATTTCCAAGGCTAGTGTGTGGCTTGGGGTAAGCAGGTGACCACAAAAGGGAAAAAGGCCCCACGGCCCACATGTGCTTCAGCCCCAAGACTGAAGGTCCACAAGCAAGCCAAAGCCAGACACACCAGCCCCAGAGGCTAACACCAAACCAGCACCCGTGTCACCAAAATGCAATGTGTCCAAAGTCTCACACACTTTTAGTGTAAAAAAGGCAAAAATCTATGATTCTTCTGAAACTGTCAAAACCATCATAAAGAAATAAGACAGATTCGGGGCCAGCCTGGTGGCGCAGCGGTTAAGTGCGCGCACTCCGCTTTGGCGGCCCAGGGTTCGCAGGTTTGGTTCCTGGACACGCACCGATGCACTGCTTGTCAAGCCATGCTGTGGCGGCGTCCCATATAAAGTAGAGGAAGATGGGCACGGATGTTAGCCAAGGGCCAGTCTTCCTCAGCAAAAAGAGGAGGATTGGCATCAGATGGTAGCTCAGGGCTGATCTTCCTCACACACAAAAAAAGAAATAAGACAGATTCAAATGAGAAAAATCTTGGTATTCACTGTGCAGCATTAATACGAGATTCAGTTTTCTGAAGACGAGCACAGTATTTTATTGTGATATATCACAAATCGGTCCTAAAAGTCTCCCGTATTGATTGCTGAGACACATAACAGAGCTCCAATCTTGTTGCAACAAGTACTACTCTTAACACAAAAATTTTATAATGTTGACTTTGAGCTTTACGATACACAAGTGATACATTTTTACAACTTTTTTATAAAGGTAAGAAAATGTCCACAATTTTCACCACTTAGGACTACCAAATTTTTTCCATGTGGGTGTGGGTGTGTGTTTGAGTGTGTGTACACACACAGAGCTTTTTAAAAAAATACACTACTAAACATATTCCAAATATACTGTTGTAAAATATTTTTTCATTTAATATTACAAATATCTTTTTATTTTACAAATATACATCAATACCCGTGTTTTAATGGCTATGCGCTACTCAGTTGTAGGAACTGATTTAACCAATACCCTCTTGTATACTCAAGTTATTTCCAATTAAAAGGAAAAATACTGTTTCCTAAGGCCAGCTGATGACTCCCCACCCAAGCACTACCGGAGAAGGCATCCTTCCTGCATGCCGCCGGGGTACCCTCTGGGTTTGCCGTCAGGGGCAGAATAGATCAGCACCGAGTCCCCAGTCTGTTCAGGCAGGGAGAGATGAGAACGCCTCACAAAGCAGAAAACTGCCCAGGCCCGTGGCTAGTGCCCAGAGCAGGCTCCGATCGGTGGATCGGTGGGAAAGCCCTTGCCCTGGGCAGTCATCTCACAGATACAAGCGCGTCTGTCTCCGTGTCCCGAGGGAGCAAGGGTGAGGGCTCCTTCCTGGAACCAGCCCTGCCTCAGCAGCCATCTGTACACTCAGGACAGCGGGTGTGTTACGGAGCCGACCACACCGAGCCAGAGGACTCTGGATTTGTGTCAACTGGCCTGTTTCCATTTTCACTAAATGTCTATAACCACTACCCCCCCCGCCCCAGAACTTTGTTAGGTAATCAGCTCACTTAGATAGATTTTCATACACACTCTCAAAACCCCACTCTGACATCAGGGCCGCCGCAGGGGGTGCGGCCAGTGCAGTGGCTGGGGGCCGTGCACAGAGGACTTGCTTGGACTAATCTTTGGTTGTCACCACTGTTTCGACATTCTTAATAATTTAGGAACAGGACCCGTGTTTCCAGTCTGCGCTGGGCCCTGGGAATTCTGGTCTGATGTCACACTGGGGGTGACTTGACAAGCTCCCTCAAACTTCCCCAAACTCCGAATCTGCATCTTTTCGGATAAAAAAGTAGTGACATTTTTGTAAAAGTGACTTTGCTTTTAGGCAAAGACCAAAGGAATAATGCAACAATGGGAAACTGAGGGAGAGGAAATTCCACCCTCTCCAAGACCAGGCAGCCCTGGGGGGGTCTCAAAAGGGGCAGTGAAATACCACCCTACCCCCGTTTAATACACGCACGGCCACGCTCTGTATTTTCAGACAGCCCTCTTCTCCCATGTGGAAGCAGCGTCCAGTGTCAAGTAGACAATGGAATTCAGGCTTGAGATGGTCTCAGCTATAAAGGAGTTTATAATTAGTAAGAGGAGTTCATCACACAAGCAAATTAATAACTTGTTTTTGCAAACCTTCACCTAAACGAAAACCAAGATCAGTAAGCCTGTAAAGGGAGACACTGCAGGGAATAATTATTTCACAGAAACAAAGTGTGATTTTCTATTTTGCATGGGAAACCCAAACAATTTTAGGCCAGAGCTCAACATGTTGATCGTAGAAAGTCACCAATATCAGTAAATAACTGTCACCTGTGCAGTTCTTATAACCATGAATGCTTTTATTGTTTCTTTGGAGCGAGCAGTTCTGAATCTTGCACAAGGGGAAATAGATGCAGAGATAAGTGAAGGGCAACGTGACAGGCTGTCGATGGCCGTCCCTCTAGGAGGACATAGCCTGTTGTCATAATCACGACTCACCCTCCTCTCCTACTCTGGACTGGTCACTGATCTGGAAGTCTAAAGGCTCTCTCTGTCTTTCCTTCTATCTCCTTTATCTCTCCCTCCCCACACCTCCCTCCTTCCCTCTCTCTCTCTGTCTCTCTCTCTCTGTCTCTCTCTCTATGTCTCTCTCTCCTTCTTCTGATCAAACAGGACTTTCCTAGTTTCAGTTCAATGAAGTTGGCATATCAATGACTTCAGAGAACAGGGTATGTTGAGGATCAAGAACTGAGAAACAGGAACAGAGCAGGTCCAGAGCATACCAAAACAGGCCACTCCTGCCTGTGAGAACGTTCCTCCAGCGGCCAGGCCAGACAAACGTGGACTTACTGCCTACGCTGACCCTTCGGAGCTTTCCTTGGGGACAGTGGACTTTTTGGAACACTCTCTCTGGCCTTGCTTTCCTTTCCTCCTTCCACACCCACACAAGACTGGAACTTGGCTGTCTCCTGGGGAGAAACATCCAAGAGCCCTGGGCAGTTGTGGCTTCTGAGCAAGGAGTCCAGGCAAGGCTCCAGGAGTGTCCTCATTTCCACCTGCCAGTGAGCAAGTGGCTCAAGGAACAGCTCGGCGAGAGCCACCAGAGCTTTCAAGGGCCACTGTCGGTGGGAAGGGCTGGGTGGCGGTCCTCAGACCTTCCTTAGCCTCCCCATGTGCCCTCTCTGTCTCTATGATGAAACTCTCTTCACAGTACTTGCTCTGAAATACCCAGGCTTTTCCATAATTCTGAAAAGGTGAGTCTAGATTCATGAAGTCAAAATTCAAAGCCAGCTGCTTGTCAAGAACCACAACTTGATTACTTTTCAAGCTGCCCAAATTAATGGCTATTAACAACATAAGCATAGTACATAGCAAGCCAAACTTGCTGTAACGAACTACTAAGGTTCACTCAAAATTAGTCCACTCACTGGGAGCACAGAGCATTTCTACAAGCTTTACAAAACGTTAGTTCTCTGAGGTTTAAACAATGTCCACTATCTTTTTTTTTTTCTAACAAATGTCTTCCTCTCGCCTTATTGTGTATAGTGAATTTTCTGTCCAGTAATATTTTATAACATTTCTTGAGTATTTTATATATGTCAGAAAAAGATGGTACAGG